GTAACTCGTGAGTGGAGATGACAGTGGGGTTGTTAGACTAGAGGAGGACGATAGGAGATTAACCAGAAGATGGGCACTCAGTGGACCGACCACTTTCATAGTGTTAGAACTAGGAGAGGAAAGGAGGCCGTGGAGAGAAGCCAAAGAGAGGGGAATGTTGCAGACGGCTAGGGAAGCAGCAACCAACGACGGAAGGGCACTAGCAGTGACAATAGCAGGAGAGGCTAGAGCCAGTGCTGAGGCAGCCATGGCTACGCCCTCCACACAAGACTCCTCTTAGGCATCTTCTTCAGGTGTCAGTCAGGGAATCTCCCAGGCTTCTGTTGATCAATCTGCTGGCCTGCAGGTCAGCCAGCAGCAACTAATGTCAGATGAGGATTATGAGATCCAACAGGCGGATGCTCTCCACACAGAGTTCGGCACCAGTTGCAGGAGGTAGAAGGTAGGAGAGAAAGAGCAAGACTTAGAAAAGCTAGACTAGAGACAAGGTTAGAGGAGTTAGGCAAGTTAGAAGCTATAGATGAGTCATCTCTCGATCCTGTAGCGCAGTCCCTTCGGAAATCCCTTCCGAGTGTTGCCGAAGTACAAGTTGTGTAGCAAGAGATGTTGGCTACATTGATAGCTAGTCAGAATCAGATTCGGACCGCACTGCGGACGCCACGAACTCCGGTCAGGCAGCCACAGTTTGTTGTAGCTCCCCCTGCAGTTGCAGGTCCCACCATGACGCCGCAGCCGAGAGGGCAACCCTTTTCTCCTCAGTTTGGCATGCCCCTATCAAGCGGTCTAGAAGCAGGTAGTAGTGGGCAGGTTCCTATACAGCCTTCTTCATTTCCCCAACCGGTGGTTGCCGCTACAGGGCAGCCACAAGTGCAACAACCTTTGCAACAGGGTCTGCAGCTGCAGCAACAGCGGCCATTGCCGCCGCGACGACCTGTCCCACCGGTTTCACAACCGATGCAGCAGGCACAAGGAGTTGTACCACCCATGCAGTGGATACCCAAGATACCCTTGCTGAGTCCTAAACCCTTCTCCGACAACAAGAAGAAGGAAGAGGATATGGATACCTGGGTGATAACCGTGCCAACTTATGCTAGGCACAAACTCACGAGGACAGAGGAGGAAGTCATTGTCGCTGCGTCCTTTCTAGAAGGATCTGAAGCCAGATGGTTGAATGGGTTAGTATAGCAGCAGGGCTACAGTCAGAACTTCGATGGCTGGGCACAAGCCAAATCATTGGAGGAGTTCGTACAATTAGTCTATAGCAGGTGGCATGACCCCCAAGGGGCTCAGAAGGCCTACGGCTCTCTGGCTAGCCTGGGATCAAAGAGATACCGGACAATACGGGAAGTAATGGATGACGTAGAGTGATTGATCGTGGTTCCCGACGTGTGGTTCGAACCCCAAGTACTCTTCACAACTTACTTGTGATGTCTGCCTACAGACGTCAAAAATAAGTTGGTCGATGAGGCCTCCATCGACATGCACGACTTTGCTTCATTCAACAATAAGGCTTTAGACATTGAGGCTATGCTTGGGAGTGCCCAAACGAGACCGGTAGATGAGAGAAAGAAGAAACTTCCTCAAGATTGGAAGAAGGGCAACCTTATGTTCGTTGATCATTACGGTCAAGCGACTGAGATTGATGACTTTTTTTACCTTGGGGTAGTAACAGAGAGTTGGATGGGGGTGGAGGCACTTCAGATGGTGGAGTGGTCGCTCTCCTATCAGGGAAAAGATGAAGGGGGCCGGAAAATAGAAGGCGGGCAGGCCTAAGGGTCAATATGACCAAGGTTCACCCATATGGGTAAAACTTGGCTTAGAGTACGAGGTGTGGCGAGATCACGTTGCACGAGGCGCTTGCCTGAACTATGGCCAATATGGTCACACCATGGCTAAGTGCAAGAGTAAGCGGGTCACCACGAAGGTCGCATTATCGATACTGACGGTTGGATCTTCAAACTCTTATGGTGCTTCTGCAAACACTTCACAAGGAAACACCTCGGGGCAGTAGGAGTGTTAGCCGCTCGTACTCGTGCTGAAGTGGTAACCTTACCTTCACGATTTCAGACGACGACCAAGGCTATTGACCAATTGATCGCCCCGCAGACAGATCTAGACCAAACGATGCTCTATTCGATGGATGTGTCTGAGTCCTTAGACGAGTTAGGAACTGAGTGGTTAGAGAAAAACCCTAGAGACTCCTGGGCGATGTTGAACAAAGTTCCAAAAGGTGAACACTTCGTGGTAGAAGTCAATGTAGGTGGCCGAAAGGTTGGCGCCTTCACATGCATAGGTTCTATGCGAAACTTTAACACGTGCTTGTGTGGATAGGCTGCGCTTAGGGGACCAAGTGTACCGGCTTAGCAGATCTGTGGCATCTACCTTGGCCAACGAGCACTCTATGGTATTAAAGGACTATGTCAAGGACGTAGTCTGCACCTTCTCCTATAGAGGAGGGGAACTGAAACACAAGATCTCGTTTCTAGTTAGAGACGAGCTGCCATTCGACATGTTGCGAGACATGTACTACCTCGAGGTTGCTAAGCCTCAGTTTGATTGGGATAGGAAGGTAATGATCCACAAGTTACTAGATGGAAGGACCATTCGGCTGCAAAAGTTTAAGGATAGCAAACTAATGGAGAACTATGGTTGCACTTGTGCGCCATCTCTCTATAACTACTACAAGCAAAATCGTGAGGAAGGTATGTACTTCGTCTTTGTCTCTGAGAAAGGGGAGGCCGTAAAATCACCACCAGAGATAGGAGTCGTTGCACAGTATTCTGACCTTTTCGAAGAGCCTAGGGGTGTCGTGGAAAGGGAGATTGTCCATGTGATAGAAGTCGTCCCCGATAGCAAAGTACCTAGAGGACGGATCCTGCGGAGTTAGATGAGCTCCGCCCCCAGTTCACGGAACTCACAGAGAAAGGATGGATTCGGCCAAGTACGCCCCCCTATGGAGCGCCGGTTCTATTTGTCCCAAAGAAAAGGGGGACCCTAAGGATGTGCATTGATTATAGGGGCCTCAATGCCATCACCGTTAATAACGCGGAGCCCCTACCCCGCATTGACGACCTCTTGGATAGAGTGCAGGGATGCCGGTACTTTACTAAGATGGATCTGAAGTCCGGATACCATCAAATTGTAATTAGGCCTCAGGACCAGCACAAAACCGCCTTTCAGACCAGGTATGGTTTGTACAAGTTTGTGGTGATGCCCTTCGGCCTATGCAATGCTCTTGGGACGTTCCAGCACGCCATGAACCGGATCTTTCATAAGTACTTAGACAAGTTTATCATCGTGTACGTCAACGATATTCTTATCTTCAGTAGGACTGTAGAGGAGCATGCCGAGCACGTGAAAACAATGTTAGGGCTCCTAAGACAGCACCAGTATAAGGTTAACTTGGAGAAATACGAATTTGGTCGCACTAAGATCTTGTATTTGAGTCATGAGATTTTCACGGATGGTGAGGCCGAATGATGCCAAAGTGGCCAGCATACATGACTGGCCCAAACCTCAGTTGGGTGCCAGACTACTATCGCCCATTTGTGAAAATTACATCACGATAGCCTCTCCTCTAACTGACCTCACGCGCCTTGACACCCATTGGGAGTGGACCGAAGAGCGTGAGGTAGCCTACAAGAGATTGAAATATGCCCTAACGCACTATAAAGTCCTCAAACTTTCGGATCCTCAACAACCTTTTGTTGTGACCACAGACGCCAACCAATATGGCATAGATGCGATCCTTACGCAGAAGGAGGGGAGAACGTTGAGGTCGATCGAGTACATGAGTAAAAAGATGTCATCTCATAAATTAGCTAAGTCCACGTATAAGCGTGAACTCTACGCCCTCTATAGAGCACTAGTCCATTGGAGGCACTACCTCCTAGGCAGATTCTTTTGTTGTGAGATCTGACCATGAGACGCTGCATTGGATCAAGGCACAACCCGTGCTCTCCGACACACTCAAGAGGTGGATTGAAGTCATAGACGTGTATGACTTCAAGCTCAACCCTCTAAAGGGAGAATACAACAAAGTGGTTGGCGCACTATCGCGAAGGGCGCACTATTTGGGCGCACTAGTGACTGAGTTTGGAATTTTTGGCGATGTAACTCAATCCATGGTGGAAGCCTATCAAGAGGATGCAGTCATATCTAAGATCATTCACAAACTGGAAGCTAAAGATAAGGCTACTTCCGATGAGTTTATGTTGGTTAACGGCTTGTTGTTCCTTGAGAAGGTTGGGAATAAACGTTCGTGTGTACCAAATGGAGAGTCTTTAGGTAGTCTATTTTTAAGAGAGTGTCACGATGCAACTAGTGACAACAACAAACTTAGTGCAGAAATTTTGGTGGCCCACAATGATGGATGATGCAAAGAAGTATGTAGAAACTTGCCAGGTTTGCCAGCGTGACAAACCACAGATGCAGGCACCGCTTGGGCTTATCAAGCCCTTGCCCATCCTTGTTGGCCTAGGTCAAAGTGTATCCATGGATTTCATGGATACCCTTGTAACCAGCAGGAGCAGCAAACTACACATCTTTGCCATTGTGGACAGATTCACAAAGTATGCTAGACTAGTCGCTATGCCTGAGACAACTAGGACTGACCATGTCATCAAGCTATTTATGGACAACTAGGTATGTTGACTTTGGTCTCCCTAAGTCTATCATAAGCGACAGGGATGTTAGATTCACTAGTGAACTGTAGCAAAGTTCGACCCAACAGATGGGTACTCAACTGCAAATGACATCAGGGAAGCACCCTGAGTCAAATGGTTAGGCTGAACAAATAAACCGGGTAGTGCAACACTTGCTTCGACATTATATTAAACCAAGTTAGGATGACTGGGACGAGAAGTTACCCTTCGTCGCCAGCCTGTACAACAACGTTGTGCACAACACTACCGGCATGACTTCCAACCAACTACATCTTGGTTGGAAGCCCAGATCTGAATTAGACTTCCTGTTGCCTGATAAACAGTCAACTGCAGCCCCTGGCAGCATAGAGTTTGTTGTCAAATACAAACAGATGTTGCTGCAGGCTGTAGAGCACATCAAGAAAGATCAAGATGCCATGGTTGCATCTGAGAACAGACATAGACGGCCATTTGAGTTTCAAGTAGGCAAACAAGTCTGGTTAAAATCATTGGAACTGGCTGCCGAATCGGTTGCCGATGGTGATGAAACCGTGCATGCAGTAGATTGTTGCACGTGGAGCGGTTGGTCCAGCGGTGGGACCAAGTGGACAGCATAGTCCTCATAAGTATACCGAGAACTTACGACATTCGCATCCTCCCCAGATGTGTAGGAGGCCGCTAGCAAGGCGGCAGAATCTGGCGGAGTGGGAGGTGGAGTCGCCTCACCTCCCACGGAACTCAGTTTCCCGAGCTAAGAGGAGGCCGCACATCCTCCTTGGCCTGATCCTGGCAAAAGGAGGTCTTGTGCTTGGTGTTGTTGCACCAGTAATAGCAGCCGTAACGGCCGCGGTACTTGTACTCGGCCTCGGTCAAGTTGAACTTGACCCATGGTGCTGGCTGTCCGTTTCCGGCCTGCGATGTTGATTTCACCTTTCCATTTACTCGGGACTTGTTGTTGCTTCGCGGCTGGACAACAGCCACCTGATGTTCCTCACGTGACGCTTGGGTGGCTGCTGGGTCTTCCACAATGTTGTCCGTTTGGACTGCAGCGAACTGCTGCGGTCGCGGACCAGTTCTCACCTTCTCCACATAGGTTGGCTGCCACGTTGACTTCTCGTGTGCAACCGCCCTGTTGGTCTTGATGATCTCTCTTGCCTTGTCAATGATTTCGGCAAAGGTCACGTATTGCTCGCGATCACCAAGTGTGAGGCTCAATGCAGCACATGACCTGTTATAGAACTCGCGGCGCAGATGCGGAAATGGTAAGTCCAGATCGGGTGTTGCCGCGATCTGCTGCCATTCCGTGAGCCAGTCACGTGTTGCTGTGTTGCCTTGTGTCATGTTGAAGAGACGGTTGATGGCGAGTGCAGGTGCGTCGTCCACGATGAACCGCTTCTTCCACAACCGTGTTAACTCTTCCCATGTGATCTTGTCTTTCAGATCCGCAACGTCGACGCCATGGGTGGCTGCCAGGTGGGTTAACCAGATCTGGCATCCGCCCTTTTGAGTTGAGAAACAGGGCGCCGATGTATGCGTGCTTGGCGACGAACAGAATCCGCAGCTGCGTCGTAAAGCCTTCCCACCAGATGACCGGGTCTTGATGCGTGTAGTCATCAAACTTCTCGATTTGAAATGTCGGCATCTTATAATGCGTTGTGCTGTTGCCATCCTTGTTAGGCAACTGCAGTTGCTGAACCTCGGTCTTCAATGTATCCAGCTGTTTGCTGGTGGTGGTTGGCGCCTCGAAGGTGCTGATGTCGCCGAGCATTGCGACGACGTGGTCGACGCGTTCCTCCAGTTGGCGGGTAGAGGGTGCACTGCTGGACTCGCCAGCGTCTGGTCCTGGTGCAGCTTGCTCCAGGTCCAGTACACAGGAATTGAGTGCCCGTGTAGCATCCTCGTGGCTGTGCACTGTCCGACGGAGGTTCGCCAACTCGTGGTGCTGTTTCTTCAGATCCTGGTACTGTTGCTGCAGTTCCTGGTTCTGTCTCTCTAACTCGGACTGTTGGTAGTTGCAAGCGTATAACAACCGTGTCATGAGTTTAGAGAGGAACTCCTTGTGCTGCTCCTCCGGTGTCGCGTCGTCGCCGTTGGACAGTTGAAAATGCCAGAACTCGAGTCTTTCGATGCTGGCGGCTTCATGCCGCTGCAGCAGAACCTGGGCTTCCTTGCCGCGTGCCTGGGTATCTGCGTCTGCTTCGGCCTGTAGCCGCTGCTTCTCAGCTGTTGCTGCTGCTTCAGCCTGTAGGCGGGCAACCTCGGCTGCCATTTGGCGCTGTCCCTCAGCCTCGATTAGTGCGAGCTGAGTCTGGAACCGCTGTTTGTAGTCGGCAAGAGACTCGTTGGCCAGTTGGCCTGGCATGCCCAGAGCTGCGCCCGTCATGTTGGCGGGGCACTGCTGACGTGACACTGTGACGTGGCACTGTTGTCGTGGTACTGCTGACGTGGCACTGCTTACGTGACACTGTGGCTGACATTGCACTGCTGACGTGGCACTGCTGACATGGCACTGCTGACGTGGCACTGCTGATGTGGCACTGTTGCTGACGTGGCACTGCTGACATGGCACTGCTGACATGGCACTGCTGACGTGGCACTGTTGCTGACGTGGCACTGCTGACGTGGCACTGCTGACGTGGCACTGCTGACGTGGCACTGCTGACGTGGCACTGCTGACGTGGCACTGCTGACGTGGCACTGTTGCTGACGTAGCACTGTACCAACTCAGAAATGCATGCAAAGGAGTGGGTGGGAGGGAGAACGCAGGTAGGAAACCAACCCAACAATACTTTCCTCCCGGCCCTAATCAACAGATAAAAAATAAAAAAATAAAAGAGGACTACTTCCTTTTTTTTTTTTTTTTTTGTATATCTGTCGATCTATTATGAGTGAGACATGTCAGAAGAGTACTGTGAACGAGATCTAGGCTAGGTTCCGCAAAGTTTTGGCTTTCACTAAAATGCGATCTTGAAAAAAAAAATTGCGAAATAGAGTAAAGATGCGATTTTCAGAAAGAACGAAATCCAGTTTCTGAGAATATGGCAACCTCTGAATATGCCTATCGAAATGTTGGTAGGCTTCGCAAGATTTCGGTTTTCAAAAAAAAAATTGCGAGATAGAATGGAAATTCGATTTTCAGAAAAGAATAATTCCAGTTTCCGAGAATATGACGACTTCTATCATTATCCCAATATGCCTAGAAAACGAAATACTAACATCAGAAATTTTCAGCTATGTATGCGAAATATCAGAGAAACGAAATGCTACTATCGGGAATTTTCAGACAATCGAAATGCGATTTATCAGAAATTTTCAGATATTTGTTACGTAAAAACGAAATAGCAATATCAGAAATTTTCAGGTAAAACGAAATGCGAATATCAGAAATTTTCAGATAGTTGTTGCGAGAAAAAAAATAATTCAGAGATTTGACGAAGTCCTACTTGATTTACTAATGAGTGATCACTAGATCAAGCAAGCTGGCTACTTGATTGAGGGGGTCCTCTGAATGAGAGGTCCGCTCCGATACCAAACTGTTGCATACTGTAACTGTGCAGACCAGAACAAGAACCGACCTCTCAATACAAAGTACAAGATAGCGTAGCGGAAGACTTAGATACCAATGATCCGAACAATCAATATTGCAATGCAGCCCCTGTGAAGTTGGCGCCTTGATGCAGGTACCTCGAAGATGGAGCTGAAGCTATGGCGCCACAGGTAAGTCTCGCTGGCCTCCGCCAGCCATCTCTCCCAACTCTACTATCTACCACCTACTAGCGCCCAGCGCTGAAGACGACTGCTATGGCTACTAGCGCCCAGCGCTGAAGACTACTGCTAGCGCTAAGCTACTCCCTGCAACGCTCCTCCTGAGTGCTGCGCTGAATCCTGAAGACTACTCGTGCCTACTGTCCAACTACCTACCCGTGAAGTGCATGGGAACTCCTATGTACTACTCGGGTGCCTCCTGACTGCAGGCGAGGCAGTCCAGGAGGCTGCTCTTGCCAATGCGGAAGGGAGGCAGGGGCTGCCGCTGCAGCTCCTGCTTGAGCTGTCGTGGGGAACAGGCCAGGAATAGCCTGTTCCCGAAACCCTGTTTTTTTGCCTGAGTCTTAGGGTAGGTCGAACACAATGAGGGCCTGAAATGGCCCTCCGTTTCAGGCTGAAAAGCCTCTGGGCCTGAAAGGCCCAGAAATAGGCTGAAAACGTAATAGGGCCTGCAGGCCCTCGTTTTTCAGCTTCAGGCTGAAACGACCGGGGCCTGTAAGCCCTATTTTCTAGGCTTTTAGGCAGAAAGTGCGGGACGGGCCCTGCAGGCCCGTGTGGCTACGCAGTATGCCACATACAAGAGTTGGTCTGATGCCACAGTACTTTGGGCCCTGGGAGGTCTTAGATGTACTGGGAGATCAACGAGATGGACCATCGTATGTCGTTCGCATTCCTGGTCGCCTACGTACGCACCCTGTTTTCCATGCATCCAAGCTGGCACCCTTTGCTCTAACTGATCAGTTTCCCCCAGGAGATCGATGCTGCCCCCAACCATGGACGGAGATGTGGACATTGACGACATCGTTGAACACAAGTTGTTGCCTGTACCCAAGCCTACAGGTAGAGGACGTCCTCCACAGATGCAGTACCGGGTGCAGTTCAGACACCACACTGATCCTCGAGAAGATTGGTCGTTCACAAGAGAAGAATTAATGAAGACTGCTCCCCAAATTATCTCAAGTTATGAAAGAAATTTGAAAGGGAAGCAGCCTGCTACATAACGACTTCTCAGAGGACTATCGAAGTAAAGGAGGGAGTGTGAGGGTTTGACCCCTCGGCATATGGCCCTGCACCAGGTGTGTGCCCGCCCTAAGTGAAGGCGGGCCCCCTGAATCTCAATGCACCCTGAACTCGTCAATTTTTGCAAATCTTGCTTGGTGCCAGTCAGTTGCCATGCGCCAGTTGGTTACGTCCGCCTTGCACATGAGAATGGGAAAGATTCGTGAGCCTTCCAGGCCCTTCCAGCAACGTGGGGTAAGCAGGGAGCATCGCACGATTGTGCCTGGGTGGTTGGACATGCCTAACCAAATCGGTCCCAGGCCGTTGTCTGAACGGGCCTGGGCACAAACACTTCGGCCGAGACTGAAGCTACTAGGCACCCGGTCTCACGTGGAAGTGGCAAGGCAAAGCGCCATCCACTTTCCATATAGGAAGGGGTCGGGCGCCAGGCCAGGGATCTGGCACTTGCCCTTGCGAATGGCAGTGCTGCGGGAGTGTGTACTCGCGGGCTGCCTGCTGGGCTAACGTGAGGTGCGGGCGCACACGGGCGTCGAGAGGTGCATGGCGCTGCTGAGGGCAGTGCCATAGCCAGCCCCCGTAGCCGAGCTTGGCTTGGACTGAGTCATCGGGTGGTGGTGGTCTTCGTGTATGAGGCAGAAGGTGTGGGTAGGGAAGACGAG